CAAAAAATTAAGAATAGAACTACCATATAATCTACATATTCCACTTCTGGGTATTTATCCAAAGAACACAAAAACACTAATTTGAAAATATATTTGCACTCCTATGTTCATTGCAGCATTATTCACAATTGCCAAGACTTGGGAACAATGTAAGTACCCATCAACGGATGAATGGATAAAGATGTGGTATATATAGTATTCCACTGTGTGTGTATGTGTGTGTATATGTATATATATATATATATACACATATATACACACACAGTGGAATACTACTAAGCCATAAAAAAAGATGAAATCTTGCCCTTAGTGACAACATGAACAAACCTTGAGGGTATTATGCTAAGTGAAATAAGTCAGGTGGAGAAAGCAAAATACCATATGATTTCACTCATATGTGGAAGATAAAAAAAAAAAACCACATAGATTAGATGGGTGGTTACCAGAGGGGAAGTAGGGAGGGAGGCAGGCAAAAGGGGTGACAGGGCACACGTGTGTGGTGATGGATGGTAATTACTCTTTGGGTGGTGAACATGATGTAGTGTATGCAGAAATCAAAATATCATGATGTACATCTGAAATTTATATGTTATAAACCAATGTGACCTCAATAAAAAAATAAATAGATGTTGGTGAGAAGAGTCCAGTATCAAACATTGAAATGTCTTTATTATTTTTGTGCTGCTTTTCCCAAAACATATATTTACAGAAAGCTTTGGCAGATAGATAATCACAATTTGATCTACTCTTGTGTGTCTGGTGAAAGTGCCAGCTCAAAATTAAGTAGATTCTAAGATTCTCAAAAGAAATTTTGAATGTGCTACTTAAGAACATTAGGCACTTTTTTTTCACCAATGAAACTGACAGCTTCACACATTTTATGCTCAAGCTCTTAGAGTCTATTCTAGTAAGAGGAAGAACTAAGACATTTCTTTAGAGGCCCTGAAGTAAATTCTGTGGTGCTCTGTAATGTCTGGAGTGGTATATGAAAAGTGATAACTAATCTCCATGAAAAGTCAGTTTTGAAGACACAGTACTTTATTTTCCTGTCAAAAGGCTGAAAACTAGATAGTTTTTGGTTTGTACTTCAATCCTTCTCCCTCCCACCAAAAGGAGAGAAATAACTATACTAAAGTTTCATAGAACCTAGAGTGAAAAAGAATAAAACTTTAGGTAGAACCTAACATAATTGCAGCTATGCTTTTATGAGACAATCTAAATATAAATAACATTAAGATATTCATACAGCTGGCATGTCCTCAAAGGCATTTATTTAAGACAATAACATGGTATGGAATGGCACCAAACCTCCATGAATTAGGAGTATCTTTTTTTTTTTTTTCCTGGGGAAGATTAGCCCTGAGCTAACATCTGTTGCCAATCCTCCTCTTTTTGCTGAGGAAGATTGGCCCTGGGCTAACATCCGTGCCCATCCTCCTCTACCTTACATGTGGGACGCCTCCCACAGCATGCCTTGACAAGTGGTGCATAGGTCCACGTCAGGGACCCGAACCTGCAGACCCCGGGCCGCCGAAGTGGAGCGCACAAATTTAACCTGGGCTGGCCCCAGGAGTATCATTTTTAAAATGTGAAGTAGACAATCCAAAGCTAACTGAGCTCACTCTAAGCAGAGAGTGCGGGGGGATTGCTCTTTGTCTTTTGTTGCTGTCAGGAAGACTGACTTTAGAGACCATAGACAATGGAACTAGATAACCATCTTACAGTCCTCCAGGGAACCACCTGTTGTAAGGAAGTGAAAGTTGATGGCATGCAGTGGGGATTTACTGAGGTTGATTGCTTCCAACCACATCCTTTCCACAACCTAATTTTATTTCGTTTATCACTTTAATATAATAAAGATATTGTTTTTCTTCTATACATGTTAAAGGCGATAAGGAAGGAACGATAGATTATAGTAAGCTTTTTTTAATTAGGAAAAACAAATTAATATTCAGAAGTTATATTTTGTGCCCAGAAGTATGAAGTACTGTATAATAGAAACAATATTTTAAGTTTTGCAAAACAGAAAGTAGAGGATATGAGATTAAATTAAAACTATTATATCTAACATTTAATGAGCCTTATCATTTTTTAAATTCTAACTGGTGTTTTTGTTCATTTTCTTCACCTTTTGCCTAGTCCGTACAAAAATTCATTAGATTTTGTTTATCGCATCAGATCCTACCCATTTGGTGGCTCCCATCCTATAATTCTATGCAAGGTATCATTTATTTTATTGTGGTAAAGTATGCTGATGGAGTTCAGAACATACTACCCCCAAAGTCTGGTACCTTAGCATGTTGAATATTTTAAGCTGACGGAGATTGAGAAAATGGCAGAAACAGATCAGTCCCTTTGACCTCCCCCACCCCCATGCCTTTCTTCCCTAAACAGGTCATAAAACCCTTATGTGACAGGTGCCTTCCCCATACCTGGAGGAAAGGAGCATCCTTCTCTCTGAATTAGAAGGGATGCCAAGAAGAATCTGAACGAACAGGCTTTGCTAAGATTACCCCAGTTTACTACAATTACCTTATACTCCTTAATCTATCATTTTCCTCCATGACTGTCCACTTTTCATCATACTGAGCATAAAAATACACAGGCATAACCTTTTCTTTGGGTCTTCATTTCCTTATGAAGGCTCCTGTGTCACATAAAACTTATATCAAATAAATTTGTGTGCTTTTTTCTGTTACTCGGTCTTTGTCAGTTTAATTTTCAGACCCAGCCAAAGACCCTAAAAGGGTCGAGGAAAACTTTTTTCTAACAATAGGCTTGTCGAGGACCATAACCAAGTATCTGTGGATATATTTTGATCACATTCTCACCATTTCTAAAGGATTCCAAATGTTTTTAAACTATAGAATTTCATAAAATTTTCATGATTTCTTATGGGTGGAAATGTGCCCAAGACTCCACATTTACATTGATTAAGATTCAAATTACCCTTAAACTAAAAGCAGCAATAGAAGGATATACAGTAACACTCATTAATTCAGGAGTCCTGTGAAAGATTTTACTTAAGTAACATTTGATCAGGGGCAGAAAATATCAAGTACATAAGGAAAAGAACTTCTCAGGAACATTCAAACACTCCAGGTACATGCTTCTTAATACATATAAAATTTCCTTAATAATTAATTACTCCTAGTTAAGCGTGAAATAAATAACTAAAGAACCTCTTGGCAGTAAGAACGTAGTTCTCATTACTGTCTGTATGGAGGGGGAACCTGAAACTTGGGTGTGATGGATGTTTTTGTTTCCATTGTGGTGATCATTTCTCAGGTATAACATATGTCAATATTATCAAATTGTACATTTAAAATAAGGTAGTTTATCTTCTGTCAATTATACCTCCTTCAATAAAGCTTAATTTAAAAAACAAACAAATCTGTGTGTCTGGGGCAAAGCAACCAAGGAGGAAAGTGGTTAGCCTGATCTTGTTCATTGCTGGCCATGCTTGGTCATTATTTTCAGTCTAATTTTTTTTTTCCTTTTTGTTTGCAGGGAGAGATTCACCCTGAGCTAACATCTGTTGCCAATCTTCCTCTTTTCTTTTTTTTTTCTCCCCAAAGCCCCAGTTGTAAGTCTTTCTAGTTCTTCTTCTATGTGAGCTGCCACCACAGCATGGCAACTGACAGATAGGTGGTGTGGTTCCGCGACTGGGAAACGAACCCAGGCCGCCGAAGCAGTGAGAGCGCTGAACTTGAACCACTAGGCCATGAGGACTGGTTCATTTTCAGACTAATTTCAGTGGGAAATCATTGGAGAGTTTCAGGCAGGGGCCTGATATGATTTGAATCATGGCAGATACTAGAATCACAGATGTGTGAAATTGGGAGCCACATTGAGCTCCCTAAGTCCAGGTGCTCTTAAGAGACAGGTCCATAGGGTTCCTTCAAGTTCCTTAAGTATCTGTTAATTTGTGTATGTATATGCACATGTGCGTTTTTAAAAACTAATTTACACACCATTCAACAGCTTCTCAAACAGGTCCACAAAACTTTAAAAACATCTCATTTATTTGACTCACATATTAGATGAAGAAATTGAAACCTAAAGAAGTAAAATGATTTATTCAAAATCAGAAGTGGCAGGTTGACGAGGTCATAAGGGTTTATATGATGCTGACTACCCCTCTCCCCTGGTCCCCTCACCTCTCGCTGCCCCAACTGCTCATTCACAGAACATAGTCATAAGGAGCTGGCACACAGCACACGAAGCCAATGTCTGCTGAAGCCTGACCTGGTCACCCATGTCAACAGGAGAGTGTGCCAACAGTAGGGTCCACAAGAGGTGATAAGCTACTACAACTATAGGAAAATAGTCCCTTATGATGCCCTCATCAAACTTGTGTAACTTTCTAAATCGCTTATAACGTGTGCATTACTGTCAAAATCACAAAAGACAATACATCATAAATAAAAATGTCCTCTTCATCTTTCAGTATTACTCTGAGCCTGCCCTGCGCCATACACCAGAATAATAACATAGAATTGGCAGTCAATGGTTGTAGTTTTCTTCCTGTAAGGAACGACAAATGAGTTCGTGCTTGATCCTTCCCAAAAGAGATTTCAATTAGGTATAAATAAAACTGCTTAATGAGAAGGCCATGTAGCAAAGTATATTTCCCAAGAGAAGTTTCAGGTCGTCCTTCAGAGATTCCAATGAAGGATGATAAAAGGTCCTTTCCACAGCGCTCCAGGGGGACAAACAAGATCACCTCAAATTCTTTCCTAGCTCTAGGGTTTATGAAAATATCAGGCTACTCTGATAGCCTTAAAAGGTCCCAGGTTACTGAAATAGCCCTGCCTCTCGTTGCTCAATCTTGAGCTCTAAGAACATAGCTCTAATACTCAACAGAGCCTAATGTACACATGATTCCTAGAAAACCTCCATGGCACCAGTGTACACTGGATTAAAACATTTCAGAAAGTCATGCTTGTAAAAATCAAGGGGGTAAAATGCAAAGTACAGCTGAGAGTTGTATTCCACACCTATCACAAGTGTGAAATCAGTGTCTGATCATCGTCTGTGCTTGCACTCTGGGTCAACAGCCCTGCAGCACACCACGGTCTGGAGGTCATGCTCTTCAGTTCTCTTAGAAAACTGTGACCTGAAAGGAAAGGAAGTATTGTTGAATACCTTTGCCACAGATACAAATCAATTTCCCTAAGTAAGAATTCAGCATGAAACAACCAACCAACCCAGTCTTTTTCTGGCTCTGTAAGAGGAGCCCTTCAAGCCACTACACACCCTCAGGAGAAACAAGCCTGAGCCTAAAGATGGTCAGGACTTTACATTGCAAATCCATTGTGATTTAATCAGCTGTGACCTTTTAGTGACCTCGCAAAGTAACTTACTGGGATTCAGGCTTGTGGTCAAGGATACTGATCAGCCTTTCTCATTACTTAAACTACCATCCCTGAGGTTCATGAAATAATCTGTGAGCCCTACATCCATGGATACAGAAATGTTCTCCCACTTGTAACTTATTGATTCCATGAGGGATGAGTATCCTGGCACTAGGTGGCATGCGACAGTTTGGGTTTTGTACGGTACTGTCACTCCAGTAGCTATAAACAGCTTACAAAACTGGACTGAGACACTTAAGATGGTATGCAAAGACTAATTTATACACGCATTCCAAAAGATCCATTTTATAGAAGCATACACACTTAGTATGCATGGCCAAAGCCTCAATTTACTTGAAGAGGCAAAGGTCTTAAGCCATGTCCTAATTATGTAAACCATCAAGGTAATTCTGGCCCTAAACCTGACCAATTCCATACTGCCAAAATACAACGACAATACAGCACCACTTGCATCAAAACTGGAGGGAAAATGATGATTTGTCAGTGGCTAAGTGATTTAACAGAGTCACATCCGTAAGAGGCATGGGATAGTCCCTCTCACTGCCATTTTCATCCCCCAGATCTCCACTGGGCTCCCCCCTCACTTCCTTCAGGTCTTTATGTCACTTTCTCAGTGAGGCCTTGGCTGCACAACCTGCAGGCGATAGCAAATCCCCGCACCCTCCATAGGCCCCATTCCACTCCCCTGCTTTAGTGTGCTGCATAGCACGCATCACCATCTGTTGTGGTATATACGTGCCGTGTTGATCTCATGCTTTCATTCTCCCCTACTGGCATGTGAGTCCCTCCTGAGCAGGGACCTTTTTGTCTCTTTCATGGCTGTATTTCAGCATGAAGAACAGTGTCTGGCACACAGCAGGTGCTCAGCCAACAATGAAAGTCACCTTTGGCCACCAGCCCTAATGTTCATGCCATTTCCCGAGGTGACCCTGTTAACTCTATAGTGTGTCTTTCAGAATTGCCTTCCACATCTTTACATTCTCATACAACGGCCCATTAAAATTACGTACCATTCACCTCAATTAAGCCCTTGACTATTTCTACAATACATTAAACAAAAATCACCTGTCTCTAGTCCTAACTGGAGACACAACCAATTGCAGCTCTGTAAACATAATCATTAGTCAACTCTTACTTTGGTATTTTCTCCCATATTTCCCCAAAACATAAACTGGGACGTTCTGAACCCCTTCATCACCAACAGCTTCAACAATAATCAACATTTTTCTAATTATGTTTTTGCATTTTTTGCTGCAGTATTTCAAAGCATATTGACTTCACCCATAAATCCTAAGTGATACATTCCATATGATCTAATATATCATACACTCTAACAGATAAGTCTTAAAAAGAAAAAAAAATACCATCATTGCATCTAACAAAAATTACACTTATTCCCTAATGCCAAATGAAAACATCCATGTCCTAATTAATTTTATTATACCCATTCTAGTAGGTATGAAGTATCACCTTGTGGTTTTAATTTCTACTTCTCTAATGACTAATGATGTTAAGCATCTTTTCTTGTACTTATTGGTAATTTGCATGGAGAGAGTAATGAGGTTCAGGACATGCTACCCTTGGCATATTGAATATTTTAAGCTGAAGAAATTTCAGAAATAGCATGTACTATGAAGGACTTTCTGACCTTCCCCTGAAGCAAGGCCTAAAACCCTCGTGTGAGAGGTCCCCTCCCTATACCTAAGGAAAGGAGCATTCTTATCTCTGAATTAGAAGGGACACACAGAAGAATCTGAATGAACAGGACTTGGTAAGTTTCCCCATTTCATTACACTTAGCTCATATTCTGTCCTGTCATATTGTCAAAACTGACTATAGTCGAGCCATTTTAAAATGGAGTTGGAGCTGCCTTTCCAGAGACGCTGTTTTGCTGTCTTGAACCTTGGACTGGGCCAAACCTCTGGACTGGACCAAAACGGCAGTTGTTTGAGAAGTCAGTAGGAGAACGGACATCCTGATCACAAGGACTGAGGATTGTGGACATTCTGAAGATAGAATCAATAGTCAATCAATGTTTATCCAAGACTAGCTCTCTGCCTCCAACTACAATTAAAATTCTTTGTGATACACCCTCCCTTCTTTGCCTTTAAAAGCCCCTGACTTGTACTCCCCACCAGGACACTGTTCGGGTTTCTACCTGAATCTGTGCTCCCTGAATTGCAATTCTTTGATCCCAAATAAACGCTTTGCCTCTTAAACTGGTTTCTGTTTCTGTAGGTTGACAATCTTTCCATGACTTTCCACTCTTCGTCAAACCTAGCATAAAAACACTCAGGTTTAATCATTTCTTCGGATCTTCATTTTCTTGTGAAGGCTCCTAAGTCATGTAAATTTATATAAAATAAATTTGTATGCTTTTCTCTTGTTAATCTGTCTTTTGTTACCAGGATCGCAGTGGAGAACTTAGAAGGGTAGAGGGGGGAAAAAAAATGGGCCTAGGGAGCTCTTTAGACTATTGTTTGTGAAGGATCTTTATTTCTTCCGTTCTCTCTCTCTGTCCTCAGGAAACAACGTGCTGGGATGATACACGCCCCAGTTTAACACCTCGCCCCAGCTTAACACCTCGCATCTCTGCTGGCGACATCATCTGTTACCTTCCTTTTCCTCTCTAAGCTATACTGTCTCTATCATGCGAACCTTACTTTGCAAAAAGAGCATGTTCTTTTTTTCAAAATGAAGGAAAATATAAATAAAGGCACCAGTCAGGCAGGAAAAACCTGCGAGTCACTGTGACCCAGCATACCCTAACCACCTAGGCGTGTGGACGCCAGCGGGAGCAGCCCTGGGAAGACGGAGGAAGAGGTGCTGGCTCCCCAGCAGGTCCTTGGCAAAGAGCGGGAGGTGACGGGGCACAGGGAGCGCCTGCTCTTGGGATCCCGCTTCTCACCTGGGAAGGGAGCAGCTAAGGCTGTCATAACCTCAGGCTTGTGAATGATACCAACTTATAACATCTTTTGAAAGTGTACTTGTTTAAACTACTTTCATCTCTAAATAGTTTTGTGAATGGTGAACAGTAAATTTTTCACTTTACTGTTTCATGATAGACATCATTGGCCCACTGTAAGGGAGGAAAAATAATTTTCCTTTACTTTTCAAATTTCTTAGCTGGGACCACTATAACAAGAGAACAAAAGAAAAACAAGCCAAAGTTTATTAACACATATCACACCTGTGACACATGGGAGTCCCCAAAGATCACTAACCCAAAGGTTCGGTTAGAACTTGAGTTTACATAGTATTTTAGCAAAGGAACAATAAATTTTTAGAGACATGACAAGACAAAGGAAAAGTACCTTGAGTCTAGGGCAGCAAATTGTGAGAAGGCAAATATATGGGAAGGTAATGGTAGATAAGGGCTAGTTAGTAAAGTTTGTTATGTAGATTCCCCTGATGCCATCTCCAGGCTGATAAGGGCCTAATTTTTTTCTCCAAGGGTTAACTTTTCTCCTTCCTGGTAGAGAAGGGAAGAGGAACACCTTTGAAATTTTATGTTCTGTTTTAGGCAAATAGGGGTAGAGCAGGGAGCTTTTCTCCTATCTGCTTCTTCTTAATTGCCTTCAGCTCAAAATAATTCTTATGTCAAAGTGGCACACTTTTGGGTGGTATATTCTGCCACCCTTTACAAATCCATTGTTTATATTTGCTTATTTATGGGAAATCTGAAGAAAATGTAAGTTAGATCATTATATTTATATAAATTAACAAAGGACAAAAGTCTGCTGTGTACACATACATTTGTTTGTTGCATATATATCCAAACCCACGGTCTTGACATGAGTACAGCCCTGTTTGGCCACTCCATTGACCGACAGCCACCAGCACAAAAAGAAATATAAAAGCTGCTTTCTGTGTGGTGGGAACTGGCCCTTCTCCCATGGAGATAGTTGCAATGTGTAAAAATTTCAAGGCCCTTCGGGCACCGCAGCCTGGGACAGACTGGCCATCTGTGCCGGGCTGGGACGATAACCAGGGTAAACAATGCACGTACACAACTACTGGGCTGGGACGATATGGGGGGGGGTGCTCAGTGCACGTACGCCACTGATAACCATTTGTGCATGGCAACAGTAGATGCTTGCTCTCAAAAAAGCTCTGTAACTGCTTACTCGGAATTATTGATGCTATAAAAAACTGCTGGAGACTGAGACCTGGTGAGAGTTCCACCTGTGGAAGGGACGCCTTGCCCAGGATGTGTGATCCCCGCCCAGCCGTGTCGATTGACAGGGCTCTCCCGGCAGTGGGGCGTGGATGTTGTGAGTAATTAATTTATTGTAAAGTAATTAATCTAACGTGCTCTCTTTTCAGTCAACCTGGTGTTTCTCTTTCCGGTTGATTTGTGTCATTTCCCTTCAGTCGTTTCCCTTTCCGATCGATCTGATGTTTTTCCCTCTTATTACATGACCTATTCGAATCTGCTGCTATCTCAGCCGATGTGGATGTTTTTTCCCTCTTAATATTTGACCTATTCGGATCTGTTTGCGGACTATCGCCTTTACTATCCTCTATATAATAAAATATATCTTCAGTCCATTTGTTTGGAGTGGCAAGTTTCTTTTACATCTCCGATCAAATCCTCAAACCTCTCATAACACCCATATGTCCTGTTTGTCATTTATACATGGTAAAAAACAAAAACAGATTAAATGACCAGGCTATTCATT